AATACTAAAATATTCAATGTCGATATTGTTGCCATCACTATCATCACCTCATTTATCATTAGTACGATACATAAGCCAACGAAATGGACTGTCGACGAAATAATTTTCGACGAAATGAACTTTCGACGAAACAAACTTTCGACAAAATGAACTTTCGACGAAATGAACTTTCGACGAAATGATTGTCGATGAAGTGATTGTCGATGAAGTGATTGTCGACGAAATGAACTTTTTGACGAAATGAACTTTCGACGAAATGAACTTTCGACGAAATGATTGTCGACGAAGTAATTGTCGACGAAGTAAACGGGACCGGTAATTCGGATATTAATATTAACTGTTAATATATAAGATTACCAAATCTTCGATTTTCTTGAAGGTTGATTAAATTTTAAACTACTCGCCTATTTTTTTTGCCATGCTAATAATAACCCACGACTCAGCTAAACTTTGCTTTCTCGATGTTAAGCCATTAGCTGTAACCACTTCTATTTAAACTGCCTCAATAATCTGAATTTTTATTTTAACAATCAGACACATTTGAACAAATGCTTTGTAATAAATAATTATGGAGTCAATTATCTTTACGGTAGCCGATATTGTTTATAGAATTATGCTTTCTTCCCGCAATAGTGATTAATTACGGAATTACGTATACATATTAATACATTTAATATAATTAGTTATGTTGAGTGGATCTAAATTAAATCTAATTACCAACCATGCCTGTCTACAGTTACTTTAATGCAAGAGAATATTATTTAACATCTCTCTTTCGGAGTTTACATGTAGCATTTTTTCCTCTGTTTGTACTTTTTTGAACACAGATAGACTTTCATTCATTCTTATTCTCACGTCAAAAATCCATGCAGATTAAATCATTGATGATAAATTATCGAGAGGAAAAGACAGCCGAATTTGATCACAAATTAAACTTCACGAATCTTTTTTTGCAATTAAAAATTATTATAAATTATCTTTTTTATTGTAGTTTAATCCTTTCCTTGAATGTGAATTTATTTGTCTCCCTCCATAAATTACATGTCCGTTACAGTATTCATGAGAATTGTGCGTTATTACTCTTGAATATATTCCTTTTTACAAATAAATTGTATCGCCCAAGTAATGATAATACCAGAACTATGCGAAAATAAAATTTAAGAAACTGAGCTTGAAAAAAAGCCACATATGAGTAAAAGATGAGAAATTTGGTATATAGTGTTGGAAAATTTTAGTGATCGAGACTCTACCTGGTTCCTTTCATTTTGTGTGTGTGCATGCTTCTCCGATTGTATATAGTTGCAAGTCGGACAAAGTTCCTTAAAATCATATTAAAATAAAATGAACTAATCTGATATTAATCATAAGCGGGATTGGATTGGACATCCTAGATATGACTTTGTGTTTTTGATGATGGTGGTTGAGTTGGTGATAAATTTGGGTTGGGTGATTGATTATTATTTTGAGTTGGCGATTGAGATGGTGGTGTTGGGGTTGCTTGAGGGAAGGTTGTGGATGTTTACGATGCTGTTGCTTATCCTACACTTAATATTTCAGGTAATGATGTATGACGAAACTTTTGACTTTAGTCATTTACGTAACCAAAGTATGACTAAAGGTAGCTTCTCACCAGGACCATTTTGACAATTGACTAAAAAAAAAGGCCTTTGACGTAATTAAAACACTCGACGTAATTAAAAACACCAGTAACAATAATAATGATAAAAAGAATTATCAAAAGTTCCAAATTATGTGCCCCGGAAATGAATAAAGAATTATCATTACTGTGTGTATATTTGCAATGATTATCATGAGGGGTTTACAAATGTTATTATATTATTATGAAACTACTGATTTTTTTCCATATACAGACAGCCCTCTCTAAATGCACACTCATGAGAAATAGTGATATGTTCCCAAGGAGGGCGCACTTAGAGGGGGTTGACTGTATTCATTCCTTTTCAAAATAAAAATACCTCTAATTAAAACTATTCTTTTATTATTTATTATTACATTTCATAAAATGAAGAAAATCAATTGTCTTTACATGCATATGAATTGTATTAACTTGATGTTTTTTCGAATTTTGGCTTTGAAGTTAATTACGCGTAACAGTAACACGTAATAATATTAATAATGTGCTCGAGTGACTGAATTTGAAACGCACATAGGCTGATCAATATTGGTATGTAGAACGACTTTTACATAGAACATGAGACAGGTTTAGATACAGGAGTTTGTAAGTTTTAATTTTGAAATCTTGAAAGTAATAAAAATAGTAAACAAATGCTAAATTCTTTGTTGTTGTTGAAGCATTAGAATCACGATGAATTTTCATTAAAGTTGTTTATTCAAGATTTATTAGTGCGAAAATGTCGCGCACTTATATACCATGATGATAGTAATAGGTAATCAAATCAACTATAGAATTGTTTGCTACATGCTATTCAGTTCTTTGCAAAGAAAAAGAAAAGAGAATATGGACATTCAGTACTGTATGATCCAGTATTTAAAATTTGATACCAATTTGTAGATTCATACAGTACAGGAATGCAAAAGTGCACAGTACTGAATGTCTACCAACTGAAAGGAAATAATGGATTGTCATACTCAAAAAAAAACCACATTTCCTCCACTCTATTCATTAAAATACAAAGTCAAGTTTTATATTTTATATTTTTACATAATATCATATAATGATTTATTATCACCAGGAAGAGCAGAATTTGTATTTAAAATTAATGCTAAAATGCACTGGCTAATTCTAATAAAGTAGAAAAGTTATTTTTTTTTCACTGATCAAAAAAAATAAAAAACGTTCCTGAAAATGAAAAAGAATATTGTAAAGAAAGGTTTATTTAGGAAATGCATGAAGTAAAAGGGGAAAACCAAAAGAAAGTAACAAGTGTAAATTGACATTAACGTTGTATAAAATTTGATTGTAATAACTTAAAACTGACTTTTCATTGATCAAACTTATTCTTTGACATTTACTAAATTACCATATAATAATCATGAAGCTCTGTGTATCCATCCATGTAATAGATTTCAAAATGGGCATGGGCAATAGAAAGGGAGTCAATGTCAAAACTCATAATTTTGAGTTAATACCACATATATACATAACTTATCGAATAATTTTAGCTTAGTAACCATGCTGACTTAATGATATTTTCGCAATCTTTTTTCAATTTTCTCAAAATCGTGATTTTGACGTTGACCCCTTTCTATTGTCCATGCTTCAAGTATGAATTGGTCGTACTACAGAAAATCCCCAAAAATTTCAATTTTTAATTTTAACAAGTTTACAACTGAGAACGTAATACGAGCTTTTGCTTTTTTGTTTTACAAACAAGAATACATTCAGTTTCCATAAAGTATAATTGGTTTGCTTTCAGATAAAGATAGAGCTCAGAATATTTTTTCTAGCATTGAAATTACAATTACCATATCAAATTTTTTTAATAAAATAAAGACTTTCGCCATTGGGTCATTTTAAAACACCGCTGTTGGTTATCTGTAAAAATTTTGATGTCTATGTTATGTTGCGTGAAATTCAAATTAGCCCAAATTTATAATTATAAATTTCAAATTCACATGTTTAATCTAACTCGCAATAATATATATAAGATAAATTAATTTAAACAAAAAATTATTGAATAATATTTATCGTTTAAATAAATATATTTCAATAATCTTAATAGCTACGGCCATACATAGTGAAAACCACCGGAACCCGTCCGATCTCCGAAGTTAAACCACTAATGGCCCAGTCAGTACTATGGTTGGGGACAACATGGGAATACTGGGTGTCGTAGCTTTTTTTATTAATGTTTTAAATGCTAAAATTAGTTCCTAATCAATACGTTTTTTTTCACATTTTCAAAAAAAGGCGCGGTTCGATGTTTAAAAAGTTGAATTAATCCCGAATCGTTACGTTTTTTCTTCACACTTTCCAAAAAAGGCATGGTAGTTTTTAATATTAGAAAAATAATAATAAAATTAAACTCTGAATCGTTACGTTTTTTTCTTCACACTTTCAAAAAAAAAAGAATGGTCGTTTTTAATATTAATATTAGAAATAAAACAATTCCGAATTTTTCTTCATTTTCCAAAAAAGGCAAGAATCTTTTTAAAAAAAACCTTGGTTGATTCCCTTTAAATTAATAAAATATTTTTTTTTTAAATAATAAATGAATTAATTCCAAATTGTTTTTCTAGCGGCGATGCTAATACTAAATCAATAATGGATTAATTCCAAATTGTTTAGTGGCAGGAAAAATTTTTCTTTCATTTTATTTATAAAACTAGTGATTTTGATTTTAGCGACTTCGTCGCATTGTGCATTGATACACCAATATTTATAGTAAAATAAATAATTTTTTTTTTACAAAAATTTATAAATCATTCATGGCATGCTTCGCATGCATGACTATAAGCATTATATTATATTGTTTATAGAGTATGTATTTTTTTTTTAGCAAAAATAATTGACAATTAAAAAAATTTGTTTATTACAAAAATAAAAAATAAAAATTTAATATTTATTCATGCTCAGTGGTTTTGATTGTCATCACTGTTGTTGCCTTCAACATTAACGATTTCCGATGTTATTTAAGATACTGACAATTGTGCTATTTTTGGATTTTGTTCTTTTCTTTCTTTGGTTTCATTTGTTGGATTATTATTACCTATAATTTGTTGAGCAATTTTTGCAACTGAAGGATTAATTTTGATAGGAGATGTTGTTGGAATTTGGTTATCTAACATGGTATTGGAGTTGGTTGAATTAACAAAAGATAGTGATGTTGCTTGTATCATTTTTAATCCATTCACTAATTCTAGGTTTCCAGATAGAAAAATAGTGACCACGATTTAATTTTTTTGAAATTGGTTCAAGAAGTTTTTCCGTTGTTTTGTGATACGCGCATTGAAATTAATATCCACTTTTTTCTTTCGATATAAACTGATGAATTAATTTCGAATTTGACTATTGTTTCAGAAATAGATGGAATTTCCATCACAGTTCCATTTACTATAACAATAATGTCTAATGGCAGTAAATACCACCTTTGCGTCATATAAAAATGATTGCAACCGCCTTTACGACAATTTTGTTTCCTTTTCTGGGAACACTAGTCTGGATCAATTTTAATTATAGACAAATTGGTTACTGCAATCTAAAAAATTTTATTTAATTAATATTAATTTGACATTTTTGTAAGAATAGTTAATTAATCGTTAGTATTAGCAATAAAAATGAAATAAATAATACTTTAATGAAAGTAACTTGGCGATCTTCAATATTTTTTTCTTCAATAGTAAATTTTCCAGCTACTCTCACAACATCATCTTTTTTGATTCTTTGAATCTTAGTTTCAACTGAAGGATCTTTTGGGTAAAAAATTATTAAATGTGACATCAATCCTTCAGTTTGAAATGTAGTGCTAACTACTCCAATAGCATTCATTAAGAAAGAATCATTTTTAGGTGTTTCCTCAATGTTTGTAATATGACTGATTACTTTTGTAATGCACATGTTTACAAGTATTATTTTTGTAGAATACAAAATAATGATGATAATTATCTATGATAGGGAAAAAAAGAAGGTTTTTACTGAAAAAGAATACGCGACAATTAATTGGGTTAGATTTATCATCCATCGTACAAGGGAAATTTTTTTTTAAAAAATCAAAGGTGTTTTTTAAAAATTGGGTGTTCATTAGAATGTTTTACCTTTTGATTTTGCTCTTATGCTTCCCAAAAAATTCAGTTTAATAAAGTTGAGGAACAACGACCATTTTGATATCAAACCTTTAAAAATTTTAATTTTTTTTTAAATAATATAAAAAAACGGTCTGAAAAAAGTTTCCTTTTTGGAACAACAGTTGGTTAATGAGTTTTAAAAGGTTTTCACAAATAAAGAAAAAAATCAGCAAAGATTTTCAAAAAGTTTATATTAAAATATTTAAATGGAATTTCAAAATTAGAAATTTTTTTCATGCCGTTATTAATAAGTGTTAAAAAAAATAATTAAATACAACCTTTGAACGTTTTTTTATTTAAATCATCGTTGTCAATTCTTTCTAAATATTACCAAAATATTGCCAATCTTTTCTAAATTGTTACAAAGTATATTGCACTGATTTATTAGAGTTGTATTCTATCGTTAATAAATCATGATTAATAAAAGCTTAATATCAAATAATGTAAGAAAAATTGCTAAAAAAAATTTCCTATGGATTATGTACCAATTACTATACTACTAAACTGATTCTTTAATTAATAGAATAATCATCAACAATATGAGTTGATAATAGTAGGTGCTGGTATTGTTGGTTGTTCTGCTGCTGTGGCTTTTGGTAAGCAAGGGAGAAAGGTTTTACTAATAGGTAATTATGATAGATAATAATAATAAACAATTAATGAATTGATAATTGGTGAAAGTAATAAATCATTTTTATAATCAATTATGTCTCAATTATATTGATAGAAAGAGATATGAAAGAGCCTGATCGTATGGTTGGTGAATTCCTTCAACCTGGTGGTTTTGCAGCTTTAGAAAAACTTGGGTTAAAAGGTGAATGAAATAATTGTATGATTAGATATACAAATAAATTATTTATTTGGAAATAATTATATTGATGTTTTTTGGTCTTTGATCTTTTTAAAGATTGCCTGGAGAATATTGATGCAACACCTTGTCATGGATTTAAAATTTTTTATCAAGGTGATAATGTTCATTTGCCATTTCCAATTCTTGATAATGGAGAACAGGCTAAAGGCAGATCATTTCATCATGGTCGTTTAATAATGAATCTTAGAAAAGCTGCTTCTGAGACATCAAAGTATGAATAAATAATATAACAGCAATTTCCTTTTATTAATTAGGTAATATTAATTAACCCATTGATCAACTATTTTTTATAGCGTTACAATTTTTGAGGGAACAGCAATTGAATTAATTCAATGTCCAATGACTGATCATGTGTTAGGTGTTATATGCACTCAGAAAGTTCAAAACAGTGATAGTAATAATATTATTAAACAAGTAAATATACATTATAATTTTTCTTTATTCGAGAATAATTTATTAGCCAATGATGATATTATTATTTATCATTTAGTTTTTTGCACCACTTACAATTGTTGCTGATGGATGTTTTTCTAAATTTCGTAAAGATTTTGTTCCAAGAAAACCCATGGTGAAATCTAATTTTGCTGGGTAACTAAAAATTCTCTTTTTTTTTTTTATTATTAATTTTTTTAATAAATATTTTTTTCTAGATTAATAATGAAAGATGCAGAACTTCCATTTCCAGCAATTTTATTCGGAAATACAGCACTGATTATAATGTACCAAGTAAATAACAATATCTGTTTTTTGTATTTGAGGAGAAAATCAAAAGTAACTGGTTATTTATATAAATTTTAGATTGGAACTCGTGATACACGTGTTTTAATTGATATTCCTGGAAAGTTACCAAGTAATGGTTCAGGTGAATTAAAGGTAATAATAATAATAATATAATAATAAATAATAATAATAATAATAATAATAATAATGATTTTGTCCAATTAGAAACACATTGAAACATTTGTATTACCATCAATTCCAAAATCTGTCAAGGTATTAAACAATAATATAACAAATAATTACAACAAATAATAATAATAATCTCAATGATAATAATAGGGTCCATTCTATGAAGCTCTTCAAAAAGGACGTCTTCGTTCAATGCCAAATAGTTTTTTACCACCATCTACCAATATCAATGGTGGTTTAATAATGTTAGGTGATGCAATGAATATGAGACATCCATTAACAGGAGGTAGTATTGTCAAGAAGCAAGAATAAAATAATAATAATTCTGCAACAAAAAGAAAACAATTTTTTGAAACAAAAATTTATTTTAATCTTCTTCTAATTCAAACAAAGGTGGTATGACTGTGGGTTTTAATGATGTTGTCTTATTATCAAAACTATTATCACCAACTATTGTTCCTGACTTCAATGACATTGGTCTAGTTTTGGCTCAAATGCAAGCATTTCATTTGAAAAGAAAATTTCATTGTAGTATGGTGATTAATGTTTTAGCGCAAGTTTTACACTCATTATTTGCTGCAGATAAAGGTAATAATAATATAATAATAGTAATGCATTTATCATTAACTTATTAAAAAATTGAATCTGATTTTTTTGTCTGCTTGTTATTGGTTCTTTTCTTTTTAGATGAAGGTCTTCGTATATTAGCTGAAGCTTGTTTTAATTATTTTCTCTTGGGTGGTATTTGTGTTGAAGGACCTTGTAGTCTAGTAGCTGGGTAATCATTGCATTTTTTTTTTTAAAAAATCATTATTGCTATTATTATAATGATAAAATTTATATTTATTTTTAATCTTAAAACTATATATATAAAATTCAGATTAACACCAAATCCTTTGGTTATGATTTTTCATCTTGTTGCTATTGTAATATATGGAACTTGGAGAATAATTTCTAATGGTCATATAATGCAGTTTCCACAAAATATCATTAAAAGTATAATGGTATTATATACAGCTTGTATACTGGTTATTCCTATTTTATATAGTGAAGTTAGATTTTAATCAAAAAACCTTGCAAATTAAAATAAAATTAATTTGCCATGTTTTTATGTCTACAATAAATTATTTAAAATCTATTATTATTATTATTAGTTCTTCTTGACCCTCTTTATTAATGAAGTTGATAAAATATTTATATTTGAGCTTTTATCTTCTTCATTACCCTTGCCAACAAAAGATGATATTGTTGTTGATTTTCTTTTGACTAAATTATTTATTTTTCTTAATTGAAATTGTGATGAAGGAGTTGTTGACGATGTTCCAATATTATTTTGTTGTTCTTGTTGATCTTCAATTTGATTATTTATTTCAACAGTAAAAGATGTTTTCTTGTTATTAATACCATTTGATAATAATTCATCAAAATAATTAATCCAAGATGCCGTTGATTCAATTGATAGTGTTTCATTTCCAAAATCTTTTAACAATAGCCCATTTTTTAACATTATAAACGTTTCTTCATCCAATAAATCACATCCTTGGTCACCATCATTGCCATTTTTACTTCTTTCACCTAAATCAATTTCTAACCAAAAAAAACCAGAATTTTTACTTGTTGCAAATTCTGTCCCAATAGCCAACAATTCCCAAAACATTTTGACTTTTAGCTCTGAATTTTTTTCATTCTTGTCATTCTTTTTATTTATCCATCTTGATTTTGGATCATCTTCAAATATTGGAATAACATCAATTGCATTGTCATTATCAGAATATGGATAATCGTATATCCAAAAACTATCATCATCATCCCTATTATTATTATTGGCATCTTTAATAAGTAGTCTAGCTTCTCTTTTTGATAAAACACCAGGTATAAAAAACCAACTATTTACATTATCAACTTTTATTTGTTGTTGGCTTAAACTGTTTTTGTTCAATACTTTTAAAGTATTTTTCCACCATCTCAACAAGTCAGTATCATTCAGTATATTTTTATTAGGATTTTCTGATGAATTGTGAAAAAGATATTGAGGTTGTGATCGTGCAAATAGATTGATTTTAATGATTTTTTGTTGTGAATTGATTATACAATATTTCAAATATGCAATAATCAAATTTCTTGTAGGCGATGATGATGATGATGATGATGATGATGGTGGTGGTGGTGGTGGGGAAGAGGAAGAAGAAGAAGGACGTGAACCAGTTGTATCAACTTTTGATATATAAATTGTCATCAAATCTTTATCCAAGTCATAATATTCATACACTTCCATACCATTAACAAAAACTTTTTTTCCTGTACTTGCAAATTCTTCTGCAACTAGTATTAATAATTTTTTATGAAATTGACTTGTTGTTATCTTATTTTTATCATCACCGTCATTGTCATTGTTAGTAGTTGTTGTTGCTTTATTCCTGGTTTTTGTTGTTGCTGCTGATTGTTTTTTACTTTTATTTTTATTATTATTTTTTGTTGTTAAAATTGGTTTGCTAGACAAAACGAAAATAGTGTATATATGCGAGCCACGTATTGTTTGCTTTAAACTACTGGCGATATATTCAATAAGAGATTGTTCTTGTTGTTGATGTTGAGTATCACTATTATTATTGAAATTATCCATTTTTTTTTTTTGAATGTTATTCTGGTTTTTTTAAAATCGTGAAACCAACATTTTGTGACAGCTGGCTGGTACAAGCTTTACTATTACTAACTAACTGAATTCAAAATCGAATATTTCAAATGAAACGAAGAAAAAAATGGTCTTTCAATCTGAAGGAGGTTCACTATATATTAAAAGATTTTGTTGGTTATAAAATTTGCATTTGTATTTACTTTTATTCCAGTCTAGCGTACTATACTTAGTATTAGTATTAGGTGTCAATATTAATATTCGAATGTCTTTAGTAAATGATGGCATTATTTTTAATCAATGGATGAAGAAGAAACAAATTCTAATTTTTCGTCAGAGTCCATTTTACCGATGACAGATTATGTAAACCACCAAATAAACAAAAATACAAAATTTTGACGAAACATGGAAGTTATATATATACATCTGTTCCTGCAGAACGGTTATTTAGTGACGCTGGAAACCATATTACACCAAAGAAAAAGTATTTTTTTAAAAAAAGAAATATGAACTATATAATATTTGACTTTTAAAAGAAATTTGAATAAAAGCATCTGGTATATCCCAAAAGTAAAAGTCTATTAAATGAATGATGGATGCAAATTTTATAGTATTGAATGTCTATATACTCTTATAGATGATTGCCTAAACTCAAAAAAAAAAAAAATAGTTTCAGCAATAGTTTTGGCATAATACACTCTTTATATGAAATGTCACAAAATAACTATGCGAATTGATATATTCTAGCTTAAAAAGTTCAAATAATTCAGCAATAATTTTGGCAAGATAATTATTAAGGGAAGTAGTTTTGACAGCTATCTATAATTGATATTTATTAATATGTTTTGTTTAATATAGTGTATATTTTATAATTTTCTTACTAGGTAAAAATGCTTTTTATTATTATGTCATAGTAATAGATTAATGTTATTATACAACAAGAAATTTAATGTCTTTTCATATCCAGTATAATTACACACATATATATATATACAATTATATATATAAGTTTTACCACTTTGTATAAGCAAGCAAAGCTTTGCCAGCAATAACTTCATTGATTTCTAAAGTGCATAAATAGAAGATGTGTTGTTGATATTCAAAGATACCTTTGTAAGTTACACCTATATTAGATAAATTTTTCACCCCTATTGAAGTAAAGAAAAAAGTCGCACCCTAGCACATGTGGATTTTGTGAATTTTCATTCATTCTCTGTGTAAAAACAAAAATAATAATTTTATTTTATTAGAAGTTTGCATTTTCGGTTGACTTTTATGACATTGAAAAAAAGGAGTATTATTAGTTTCCATTTCACAAAGAAAGTAACTAACTATATATTGGCAGTCTGTCAAATGTCCAATTACATGTTTTCTAACTTTTTTTGGTGAGTATTTTTATTCCAGAGAAATTTAAACTCTTCTAATGCTGCTGTGAGTGAATGAATGATACACATTTTTGGACTCTGGAAGCCTTTCTCATATAGTTGATATCAGTGTTGTGACCAGAAACTCTTTTGGCTTCCTGAAACATTTCAGAAAATGAACTTACACTAAGCAGAAAACTAAACCTAAACCTAAAATTAATCATAAGCTACTAACCTAAACTAGTTTTGGATGTTTCTGTTGGTTTCTGTTTTGGGTTTTCCCTAAACTCAGAGTTTCAGGTCACAACACTGGTTGATATACTACCAAATCGAAAAATTGATGTATCTCTTTTTTTCTATACCTGAATCATATCTAGTTGGTAGTATGCCAAAGCATAATCTCTATAATATATATATTTCTATAATAATTATACCTTGATGTACTACCGCAGGTGCACTATGTTTTGGATCCCTAGAAAGCTTTCTTGTATAGTTGATGTTTTTGAATACTACCACTTTATGTAAAAAACCGACCTATGCTTTGTCATTTTACTATCAAAAAATTGGATCATACTACTGATTTTCCCCTCTTTCCTGAAAAATTTCTCACTTTGACATATTACCAAAAAAAATACTTTGGTGTGCTACCAATTCATGTCAAAGAGTTGGATCATACTTTGGTGTATTACCAATTCAAAAATTTATTTTCACTTTGACATATCACCTTGAAAAATATATCATCAAAAAATTTCTTACTTTGGTGTATTACTTTGGATCATACTTTTATGTAATAATTTTTGATTTGAATTTTTTTCATACATTTATTGTAAGAGACAACAAAAATATTATTATGCTTTTATCAAAGAATAAATTTCAGTATACAGCAGAGGATAATTATTTTGCCAAGAATGATTGGTGTTATAAATTATAACGCACATGTAATATTCCAAAGAATTCTAAATTTGTGGTCAAGGTGTCAGAGAATTTACTTTGGATCAAAAAAATTTGCATATCACTGCATGCGTTAATAATAAGTTAATTGATAAAAAAATATGCAATGGAGCTATTGGAATAATGACAAAAATTCATGACAAAGAGAATATTGAGGTGACCTTTCCTATCTTGGCCAGCATAGGCAAGGTTATTGTTCAAAGAGAAACATCTTACTTTGAAGTTTATGGTAAGAGAGCATCAAGGAATCAATTTCCTCTTCAGAATGCATTTGCTCTGACTGTTCATAAAACTCAAGGATTGACCTTGCCACATGTAACATTGAATGCTGATGAAAGTATGTTTGCTGAAGGACAAGTGTGTGTTGCAATGAGTCAAGTTCCCTCATTGGAAAAACTGCAAATTCTTGATCTTGATTATTCTTAATTAAAAAATTTCCAGGGTGGTTTTGGAAGAGTATAAAAGATTGGAGGCTGTGAGCATTGATGGGTTGCAAAAACTAACAATGCTGTAAAAGAAAATATGCTTTGTAAAAAATTGAATGTAATTTATAATCATGATGTATTACACTGATGTTTGTGTGATGTGATGATTACATGAACTCACTGCAACCTATTAAAATCTTGTTTATTTACAAATATTTTTACTCAAAACTTTTACAATTGAAAGTATGTCGACTACTGTATTCAACATAATTTTGAACTTTATGAAAGATGAGCCAGTAAAACGTATTACAGCAGGATCAGTAATATATAAAGTCACAGAAGATGACCAAACAATAACAAAAGAAGATCTCTTTAAACTCTTTAAATTGATGATTGATGCAATTCAGACCATGAAAAATATTGCTGGTGGAGATTCTGAGCACTTCAAAAAGATTTCTAACATTCATTTAGAGGTTAGTTATGAAATTTCTAGATCATTGTATATATGTATATATACAATGATGATGCAGATATTGCCTGACAATGTCATAATAAATACCTGAGCCTACAAGTACAAGTTGTGTCTTTGAACGTAGTGAAGGGTATTTCGACCCTGTAGGGTGATATTTAGATAAGCTATTGCCCTTGTGACAGCCAAACAAGGATGGTAGCTTCATATTCTGTTAATGCGCACATATGAGGAATAAATAATATATTATCAACCTAAACTAACAAAATATTATTCTGTGTCAGTTTGACTGTGCCAATGAAACTATCTGTAGTTTATGCAATAGCAAGGTGTTGAAGATGGTATGGCAAGTCACCTTTGAAATAATATCTATGAATATAGGCTAATATATATATATTTGTAAAGAGTGAACAAGTTCTCCTTGATGGTAATATGATAAAGAAAAACATAAGATATTTACAAGGAAAACTTTCAAGTGATTCATCTTCCCTTTCTTTGGAACTTTATCAAAATGTGAATAAAATTCCTATTACAAACCTAACTTGGAAAGACCCTCTAGCCAGTCAGGTTGTAAGTGAAGATTCAATCATAGTAGAAAATTTATCACCTAAACAGAATGAAAAATATATGGTAAGACTTTGCTTTTTTTTTGCTTTAGTTAACATTTTAATTAAATTGTCGACCCTTTAACAGAAACCAGCTTGAAACATGATTGTCATGCTCCCAAACTCAATTAAAGATAAATGTCATGAATTCATATCAGGTTTTTGTAAAACTTACACATGATGGGGAATGGAAAGAGACAGATAAAACTCTTGTGGATGTTAAAGGGGGGGGGGGGGGATTCTTGATGTATTGTAAGTAATTTTTATGATGGGTAAAGTTCTTATATGATTCCTTAAATTGCTAATTTTATACTATTTAATTCGAAAGGGCTGATGTTTGGGTGAATCTGCCATTTGGGCCAGAGCTCATGAAAACACAAAGTGAAGGAACATATGTAATGGATATAATAATTCCTTCAATTCAAGCATCATTGAAAGGGCTCCTATATAGACAATTTGCATTTATCAGCACATAAGTCATTTCGTTATAAATGTTGTTCTATTCATTATTACTAAAAACTCATTTTTTTTTGAAATTCACTATAGTGCAGAACAACAAAGCATTGCCAGTGCAGATAGAAAAGGGGAGTGATATTTTGGAAAACAACCAGATTTTATGTATATACAAAAATGGGAAGGTAAGTTATTTAAGCTTGTATTTGGCAAATGCTTATGTTTATTATGTAGTGATATCAAGAAGAAGGAAGATGAAATAAAATTGTGGAGGGAAACAAATGATGGCATATTTTGGGTACAACAGGGGTGTAACCCAGAAAAAATCCAATTTGGTATTGTAGGAATTCAGGTAGCAGGTAATGTTTTGATATTATTATTATTATTTCAGAACTCTAGTCAGTTGTTTCCCGATTTAATAATAAGATATTATATTATAGGGACCGAGATCCAGTTAAATGTACTCATTAGGGATAACTTTGATATACATCAATATTATCATCTTAAAAAAACACAAATTCATATACAGCGATCTGAACAAGCCTTATCAACTTTATCTGAATTTGTTGAGTTATTGTTGAATTTATGGGTAATTATTTTAGTACACTAAATTTCATTTATGTACATAAGAAAACTAATTTTATTTTCTATATAGAATATCCTGATCATTAATTTATCTTTGCTAATGCAAGTACTCACAAGTAAGATGCGTAGTGTTGAAAAAAAGTACCACAGTATCATCACCGCCTAGGGAAGAAATACACAATGAACAAAACAAAAAGAGGAAGAAAAGATCTAAGAAAAAATCAGGATCTATTAAACATAGAAGTTCATATTTTAGAATATATTTATATCATGTATGTTAATAAATACCTGCATATTTGATCGATTTTTTTTCTTGGCAAAGTGGTTTGATGATATCTAATTATTGGTTGTGTTAAATTTTTTATACATCCATTCAAATTTTGACCAAAGTAGTTGTGGAAAAATATAATTCCAAAATGCCGAACTATATCCTGCTTGGCAATAATTGGTTTTGTACTAAAAAATATGATAATAAACTTCCAACTTATTTACCAGAAATAGTGATAGATGCAGAAGATGCTTGGGTAAGAATAACTTTGTGTATCAAGAATTATGAAGATAAAGGATCATGGGTCATAGTATCCATTAATAAAAGTAATGTTGATGAATTTAGCAGCATATGAAAATTGAATTGCTGCTAATTGTGGTTCCCATCTTTACTGTTGAGGTATGGCAGAGAGAGACTAAGGTTTCTGGCCAAAACTGCTTCTATTAGTAGCCGAAATTGCCCAAATACTTTGGGCAAAAATTATTTTTTTATA